GTGGCAGAGAAGTCAGCACAGAGGACGCCGTGGCTAGCACGTCATTGCAAAGCACCGACTCCGGGTGAACGGAGGCCGCGTACCTCCAGTTCTGCTGCAGTAAGGAGAAGAGCAGACTCAAACCTGTCCTCACACCCATCTCTATCAGAACATCTGTACCCGACTTGACTTTGGACACCCCCCCCGGCAGGCAGGGCTCTGAGGCCAGCTCGAGTTGCCCACATTCTGTGCCATTGTCTGTGGACTGTGAGTGTAGCTGCACGTGGAATTTGTCATGGTATTTGCTGTGAAGTGCGTAGTAGATCCTCTGGAGGACTACCAGCCTTTGGTGGAGGCCCAGGGTGTAGGAGGTCTGCGTCAGCATGCGGTGAGTCAGCCATCGCTGACTGTGGAGCAGGGATGACAGGTACTCTTCTTTCGCCGCCGAGGCACTAGACTCACACTCGAAGTCTGGCAGGCGGGGGCCCACCAGTTCATGTACAGGTTGGGCCAGAGTCACCACCTCCTTGTTATTGAGGAGCTTGTTGTAGAGCACAGCAGCTCCATGTCTCCTGGCTGTCTGTACACTGTCTTCTGCGGCCCAGGAGCTATTGAAGTGCTCCTGCCATTTCAGCAACACATGGGTCTGACAAGGCACCATGTCTGAGCATTATCTATAATCGTATATACACCTGAAAACAGAGAGGCAGATTTGTCAAATTCACACGTACCATTAACATAATAAAAAGGATCTTTATATTCACTCTAATACATTTACAGGCAACATTCGCAGCTGAAAGCCAATGTCCTAATGCGTTTTCCTGCCAAGTAAATTTAGAGAAAAGGTGTCAGGTTTCTCCTCAGTGTTGGAACTTACATCCAGGCTAGTGGCATAGGCCCAGTGGGTATCACTGAAATAGGTCAGCTCACCCTGTAATAAACACACCCACACTAATGAGGAGGATTTTGTCTCACAAGATGCGAAAAAAAGGGAGGTTTTTGGTTTATTAACATTTGAGTGTATTCATTTCATAATATAACATTGCCAGCCAAATAATTAGACCTGATTTGAGAGATTTGGCAAATGTGTGACTAAAATCTGATTCCCGTTATAATTATCTCCGATTCTCAATGCAGTTATCATAGTCATCATCTCTAAGTTGGACCACTTGAGCTCCACCTGACCCCCAGTCAGTCTGCATTTTTGTCTGCCTTCCAAACAAATAAAGACAAAGTTGATGTTGCAGTTTGGCTGAAAATGATACGTTTATTAATCGATAAGAGGGTCCAAAGAAGACTATTCACCAACTATTGTGATAATCGATTCATCGTTGAGAGATTTTTTATGAGAAATTGTGGAACATTATGTTTTCAGCCTCTTAAATATGGAGCTTTTCATTTTTTTCTGAAATTTAACAGACCAACAATTAATTTATTCATCTAGAATATAATCAGCAATAACCTTTACTTGCAGCAAGATCATTTGTACATATGTATTATTACCCAAATATAAATAAGTTGTCTGTCGTTCCTGTCAAGACACAAACACAAGTTGTAGGTAAACAAACTGGGCAAACCAGATATCTTCATAGCTAAGACTCCTAAGGATAAAACTCCTTGCGTAAACATGGAGTCATCTGAGGGAAAGCATGCCACCATAGTCCACCGTCATCTGCCCTGCCTTGCCTGAGGCCTGTGGGGCTATATGGTTTCCACTCGGGCCAAAAATAACACCAAGCATTGATATAGCAATGGGCTCTTTGGGTCAGGCAACCACCGGTAAATAACCAGCAGCGATGTAAGGCACAACCATCTCTAGTTGTAGGACATGGACCTTAAGGACACCTCTCGAGTGTTCCTCAACACAGTCTATGGGTTTTCCTCCTTTTTTCCACCTAACTAACTTTATAGTTAATCAACCATTCACTATACAGCTCATGACATCAGTCCATCACACAGTATTCGCAGTATACACTTAAACAAAAAAAAATCCTCTCGTATAACTTGTTAATTGCTATGCTAGCAACTTGCCAGTTAGATATACAAATAAAACACGAAGGCTTGAGGGGGGGCTAGTGAAACCCTAATGATAAAACCATTCACACATCAAAAGCAATATTAGATAGTGAATGCATGCAGCACCAAAATGTAATGTCAGTGATTTTAAGAACCCAAAGCCACGTCAACATGTTTCTACACATCACATGTGTTATTGCTTCTCCAAAAAGTATACTAGCCAGCTGAGGTGACACATGATATTAGACCGTGACAGTGAAGTACGGTTTATGACATTTAAACCTTGGCTTTACGGGTTACCTCCTGATATTTTTCCATTAGATACATCTTTTGAATTAGCTTGTCTTTATGTCATAAATGTTACAAAATAGTGAGCCTAGTGTCACTTGATTTAATCCCTTGTTTACTCCTGCATACTGTCTGAGACCCCAAGATATTGAATGTGAAATGAAAGAAGACTGAGGAAAAACTCCTAGCTCTCATCTGGATTTGAGAATGAAATAATGCCAATAGACTAAATCAAATAATAACATCAGGATAACTGGGCTTAATATGCAAAAGAGAGAAATGCTCAGCTATTTAGGAGGAGCTGCACCATGATGCTTCACTTTATGATTGCAGAAGATAAGGCTGCTGGATCTGATCCAGGGGTTTGAAAGTCATCCAGAACAAACTGGACCAAGGGATGTGTGGGCTGCTGTTGCCACGACAACCCTGACCACAATAAAGCAGTTCATGGTTGCATTAATGGATATCATAACCGTTGCTAATGTTAGCATTCATGGGTTTATTCACCACAATATGAGCTGCATAATGTCTGACAGCAACTTACCAATCATGCTAAGATGCTGGGGGTGGGAGGCAGTGAACAAAAACACACCATTTAGCTTTCTGCATTAATTTGAGCAATGACATTAGCCGGCATGATAATATAATAACTGTACAATAACAACGTTGTCCAGTCGTGCTATCAAGCTTGCTACTTGAATATTCTGTCAACCTTTTTGAACCGTTATGTGTATTTTATCTCTGCCGACAGTTTCAGTGTAGCATTAGCTATTCGCTACAACGACATAAACAGCCTAATGTGTGCATTTAAAACGCAGTCTCCGCCGTGTCATTGAAAAACACCGGTATCTTTATTATAGCATCTGCGGTGACAGCTGAGCTAACGCTGGCTGCACTGCAGTTGCTAGTCTGGTCCATGGCTGTCAAAACGACCAAGCCCCTCCGCTTGTTGTCTGACAGCTCTCAGCAAAACACTCCCGCAGCTCGTTAACGTCGTTAAAAAAGATTAACATAAATATAACAAAGAATACACCACAGACATGTTAGCTACCTTGACTGTAAACACCCGCATACATTTGGTTTGCGTTACCTGTCCCGTCCCAGTGAGGTCTCCCTTGGACGTGAATATCATATCAACCTTCTCCTCTTTCTTCTCCTTCTTCGGCTGCTGCACTGTTAACCGGTGATGGCCACCACAGTTAGATGTCTGCCCCCTTGTGTATTGGAGTGGGTATCATCAAGCTTTCATAATATTATTTTTCGTATGTGATTGAAACCATTATATTAAAAAAATGTCGGCGATAAAACAAATACTCTAGTCAGCACATGTTGTCTTTAATTGATACACCTCTAATATTAAAGCAGTAGAATACAGTGCTATAGAGAGCCCTTGTCCACCAATGAGATGCATGGGTGGAAAAAAGGCCCTGTAAGTCAATCAGTATAATGGATTGTAAATAATGACTTAATATCTGAACATTATGACTTTGAATAGAAAAATAAGAACGTTGTATTTAAAATGATTAAGATAGCATCCCAAAATAATGACTTCTAACCATAAATAGCCTAATGAGAAAAGTGTTCTAGTTGTTTTGTGACATTATTTTTGATGTCATATCTATTTAAAGCATTGCTTTTCTATACATGAAAAAAACAAACATGTGGGGATGTTCTCAGAATTCTGACTTTTTTCTCAGAACCCAAAAACAATATAGGCTATTATTATTTTCACATCCCCAAATTATTTTTTTCATGTGGCCCTAATCCTCTTCCGTACTTTTCCATGTCATATAGATGAGATCATTTATTTCAAATGATGTGTATAAAAGAGAAATTCCCCTATTGTTGTACACCAAATTAACTTGACATGAGTTGACTCAGCATGCAACTAACTAAATAATTAATGCATCATGTTTTCTGAGGCTCTGGGGAAAGCTTTGTCAAGTCTGAGGAAATAATTATGATGTTGCATTATGGAAATGTAGGATGTCGTGTTTTTGGACCTTGAACCACAGTACTGACCAAACGTCAGGATGTCTCAGGCTGCAGCTTTGATTTTGACCAATCTTTTTTTAATCTCGTTTCCCACATTTTTGGAATGGCAATAATACATGTGCCCCCTTTAAAGAACTCCACATGGGTTCTCTGGTTGTTGGTGTGTTGTAGTAATCCCTTGTCACGTTTATGCCCCAATACAATACTATGTTTAATGTATTCACAATCAGTTAAAAAGACGAAAAACAATCAAGTAAAGAAAGAAAGCTAAACAAACTAAATCACCTTACGAACTCATAAAATGCCATTTTTTGTATTTTCAGTCTGTTCCTTCGTTTTTCTGTTACAGCATATCTTATAAACCTTAAAGATGTGATTAAAATACTTGTATGCATCTTAGTGGATATAAACTAGTGTGCAACACATTCTTTTATTACTATTTTTGCTTATTTTGGTGTTGGACCATTAGACACAAACAACATTAAGAACATTTCACTTTTCTTATGCGAGTCTAAAGATGATTTTATTTTTGCAAAACTGTATTAATTTTGGTAATATTATTAGCATAATTTCCAATCATAGGATGTTGTGACTAAAAACATCCTAACATCAGATGTGATTCTTCAAAGCTGAGCCAGTCACGAGGTTTGGGGGGGGGGGGGGGGGGGGGGGGGGGTCTGTCGGTCCCCAACACAAAAACAAACCAAAAATAACTTATGACATCAGGTCACACGGATTTCAATTCGTGGATGGCGGTCCAGAGTTAATCCCACGTCCAAGCCGGATCTCTAAAAAAGGGAGCTGACTGGCAAAAAGGACGACAACACCGGAATGAGGAAATTGACGAGGGGCAAAGCCATGTGCAAAACAAAGTTGTTCATCCCTGATAACCATACAACCTGATGAGCCGGGGGTCACTCCACTGAAGTCTCACAGAGGTGCTCCGTCTCTCCCCGAGATATCCAACACACAGCAGCCCATCCAGGAGCTCTTCACCCGGCACCATGTCTCTCCTCCTCATCACGGTGCTGACTTCACTCATAGTGCAGGATGCTGAGGCTTGGAGCACCAATGTCAAGTACGCGGTGAACTGCCCGGACAGATGCAACACGGAGCGGTGCGGCGCGACGCAGCGCTGCGCACGGACGGTGCTGGATGACTGCGGCTGTTGCCAGGTGTGTGCAGCCGGCAGAGGGGAGCACTGTTACCGCACCGTGTCGGGCATGCACGGGGTGAAGTGCGGACCGGGATTATTCTGCGAGTTCTACAAGGATGAGGACGATTATGGAGACGAATATGGGATCTGCAAAGGTACTGTCGACATTGTAATGTGCCCAGGGTGCTGCTTCTGTTTGCTGCGTTTTGAGTGTGTGATGCTCTGCTGCACCAAATCTCCTTTTGGTGTTACAGTGTTTAAGGTGCTATTCATTGGATTATCACAATGAATAGCACCTGCCTCATAACCAAATACAGTGTATGTGTGCATGTGCAGACTTGTGCATCCTTGCTTCCAATGAGAATTAGACATTTAATTTGACAAGCTTAGGAGTTTATAGTTGAAACATCAATGATAATACAATATAAATGATTTTTTTGGGTCTATTGCTCATGTATCTTGTAATTCATCCTTATGATTTTGACTGTGAATATGAGTCTATAACAGGAGTAGGCTACATTAGATCCAGAGACTTCTCTAAATTATTGTTTTCTTTTTCTTCAGACTGCCTGTATGGGACCTACGGAATTGAGTGCCGCAAGACTTGCAACTGCAAAGGTGGCATCTGTGACAGGGAGACAGGAGCATGTCTCACCCTCAAATTCTTTGCCAAAATTGCCAGCAAGCTCAAGACTGACACTCAAGAAGGTATACATCTCGACACTTTAAAAAAAAAAAACTTCACTCTGCTGTCAAATGTCTCACCAGATTGACTCAATTCAGTTCTGAAAAACAGGTCATTTGTGAATTGAGAGATTAATGAATTCTGTCACCTGTGTTTCTAGGGGGAGAGGGGGGCTCAGGAGAGGTCAGCTCTGTCCAGAACACAGATCAAGACACGACCAGATCCACGGCTCCAAAGCGGCTCAACCCTCGCTGACAAGTCCTGACAAGACTGAATCTGTTCAGTGTAAATGTGGCATTAACTTATAAATGAACTGAAAGATATATTTTATTATGTTAAACGATGAAATACTTTTTTTTTTTACAGCAATACGTTATATTTGGTTTGTTTGTTTGTGTTTGACACAAGCATCAATTCCAATTAAGTATGCAGTCTCTGTTATTTTTTTGTTTTTGTTCATCGTCTTTCCTTTTTGTACTCTGTTCCCATGAGCTTCAATCTCGATCTGATGTTCTCATTTAGTGTGCCTTCATAAATTACTTTGGAGAAAATGACAAGAAAAATATTGCATATATTTTCAAACTGGACAAGCAATAGTTGTTTCATTGTAGTCCGCTAAACATTTTGAAGTCTTCCATTGTGATATTTAATGTGTACTGTATACAAAAGGGACATGGGAAATATACTGTATATGACACCAGCCAATGTAATGAATGCTCTTACAATTAAACCAAAGTTATCACTGACTGTTGTCATGTTTATTTTAATTGCCTACAATGTTCTATTAACCTAATAAGCGATGCAGAATTTGTTACAATAAGTGTATTAATTTAAAAAAAAACGAATAATTTATTATGTAGTAACCAATAATGTAGTAACTTCAGCAGTTTATTGTCATGTTACTGTTAAGGAAAAATGTAACATCATTAATGGTTACTGGAGTTTCGGACAAAACATTGGAATTCAGTATGTTTTTTCATACTAGTGACTGCTACAGAGAGTGATATCTTACAGAGGAATTTCACATTTCTAACAGAGGCACAAATCCTTTAATATAAGCCATGATATTACATAACCGGTACTGGTATTGGAAACTGAATTAATATATGGTTAGTTAAATAAGAGAGTGAATGTCGAGTATGCTGTAATAGGAACATTATTTGTCATTATGGCATGCTAACATAGTTCATATTACATTTTCTTAGTTTGAAATATACAGTGTACTTTTGAACTTGGGTGTGCATTTAATTCAGTATTTTAGAATGATTTCAATGAAAAAAGAGGAGGATACATAGTTGCTCTCAGGACAACATTAGAGAGATTAGAGAGGTGGTCTTTGAACTGAAGAAATGTTAAGTAGTCTGTATAGAAATATCCTCTGGGTAAGAAGAATTTGAGTTTTCCATGATGATCTGAAGTGGTACATGCCAACTGAGGAGCAGAACGTGCTGAGAATGTTTCAGGCATCCTTGACTCTTGAGTTCTTGGAGAGCTCTACTTTCTCAACTTCCACAAATGGCAAAGAAATGATTTGCTCCCACGTTTAAAACATATCTCACTGTCATTGCAAACATACTTTATTACTAAAATTAAAAAGGACAACTGAAGAGCAAAGGCTGGGTTTCCTGGCTTTACAAAAGATCACAGACGGGGCAACATTTGAGAAAGTTCCTCTACCTTCTTCTCATAAAAGCCGTGTAATAATGATTGGAAACAACATGAGAACAAATGTGATTGGTTTATTAAGGTTGCATAAAGTATTTGAGAAATGGACATTGTAAATTCAGCTAAACATTTATATTATTTCAACTCACCTCTTCAATTTTCAGAAAATAAGTGAAATGGTTATTTTTGCAGGCCGATTTTCCTAATATTGTTAGTGTCATGCCAAAATGCATGCAAATATAGAATACAGCTTTAGTATAAGTCTTTAATTATCTACATCAGACTGTCTTTGAAAGAGATGTAGGTTCCATTTGAATATAAATGTGTTAACTTACAAATTATATTACAATAAATGCCATGATCAAATGTGAATTAAGCAATGAGTTAAACATGTGAACTTATTGCTTGCTTGTAATTCATAATCAAACAGGATAAGTTATGCTTGATGAGAGGAAGATTTCCCCTCAAAATCTCTTAAAGTGCACGCAATTAAAATAATAAACATTTTGGCCAAAACTGCAAAAATAATCCTGTCCCAGCTAAAAATATCTCTTATTAGCCTCACCTCTGACTCTTACCGGTACAAAAATGTTTTCCAGTATTCAGCTTGTTTATTTCCTGTGCTTCCTGACACCTGTGAAAATGTCCCTTCTTCCTGTTGTTGTTGTGTCTGACCAGGACGGGAATTTAAAAGCAAGGATTTTTTCAAGAGACACTTGAAAAAACCTTGGAATTTACAAGTGACACACAACTGCAAAGGCTCTGTCCTCTTGTCCAGGGACAGAAAAAAGACACTTCACATCCACTCTATTCAATGCTTACTAAGATTAAAGACCAACACCTAAAAACCCATCAGTGAACAAACCAACTGTCCCTGTGAAACAATGAACTTTAATAAACTGACTGACAAAATGTTGTTATATAATCTTGATTCACGTTATCTATTGTAAATCATGTCTTAAGTTAAAAAGTGAATTATTAGAAATCAGTTTTTTTTAAACAAAGAGTAGAAATGTTTTTGCATACAAATAAATTATGCCTTATGGAGCTGAAGACACACACACCACACACACACACACACACACACACACACACACACACACACACACACACACACACACACACACACACACACACACACACACACACACACACACACACACACACACACACACACACACACACACACACACACACACACACACACACACACACACACCACACACACACACACAGACAGAAAGAATTGGGAAACTATTGAGGAGGACCGGAGAGTTCACAAGTGTTCGGGGCTCTAATGTTGCTCTCATTCCCCTGAGAATGGACAGGCCGAGACCTCGTAACCAAACAAAGGACCCTTGAAAATAACAGGAAAGCGATGGTGAGAAATACCCTTTATCTGACTCCCTGAACACGTCACTGCCGCTCCTGCAGAAACAAATGTGCGTGAACGAAGTAGTAAATAACACTGATTTACTGCAAATAGATGGTCTGGTATTTACAGTTTAGCCCTGCCTCAACAGGTTGTTTATTGTAGCTGAAGAATGACATGTCTGAATGGAGACAACATGTAAACACTGAGAAAAAGGAAATTAAGTGGTGAGATTGATTACATTGATAGCAGATAGCTAACCTGAGGCTTGTGAAATCTCACTTAACTCATTGGCTGTTATGTTACTTCATCAAGATGTGATGCAGTTTGAGTAATTAACTCACATTTCCAGGATTCCCAACTCCTTTTCTTTCCCAACAGGAACATCTTGAGCCGTAAACGACTGGACTGGTCAGACTTCTGACCCCTGGAGGAATTGTCAATGTGGCGTGAGAAGAAACAACAGGTTTATCATCACACATCAGAATGACAAAGAGTTACAATGTTAATATAGGTTGCCATTTTAACCATACATCTGTAACAGTCTTCTCTTTATGTATTTGACTACTCTAAAGTGTTTTATTCCATAAAATGAAATGTGGAGCAACATTTTGTTCTCGATTATTTGGAGCAAAAAAAAGTTTGGGAAATTATAATTATTTCTGCTTCAACAGTAGCACCACATCAGTACTACAGTATGTACAAAATACCCTCAGGGAATAATATCTGAGCAAATCACAATCTGTTTGAGACAAACAACAATATCATGTTGTGTGATCAAAAGATAAGGCAATTTATTATTTCTGACTCAAACTTCTACTCAATTTAGGTTCAATCTATTAGAACATGATGTATTCAAGTGCAAGTTTGTCACTCATTAGGCTTAAGTTACAGTAGATAGATCTTAGCAATAGCCTATCTTATGCCTCACAGAATAATTGAATGTCCAATACAAGTGCCAAATGCTGGACAACTACCATATTTGCATATTCTAGGCAGATTTATTGAAGAAGGTCTGAGGCTAGGGTAGGTAGGATTTACGATGTAGATAGAGGTAACTGATTTGAATAAGTTTCACATTTCTTTTTATGTTAATTTGTTGTACAACTTAATTTGGTAAGGGCTCTAAGGTTGCACAACACCATTTTTTTAAATTATATCTCATATTATTATAAAACAAATGTATTTTGAGCTTTGAAAGTAGTAATACATTGATGTTGTAATACATTGATGTTGTACCGGATAGGGTTTTTAATTGAAAACCTTCTGAGTTCCTCTTGTGCTGTAACACATGGACATCTGGTGGCTCTTTGATGCTATTGTGCTGAAAAGTTTTCTTCTGCATTTATTTTCATGTGTTTGTTTTGAAGCTTTGATAAATTAATGCAATAATAGATGTTACTTCGGTTTAGTGTTATTTTGTATTTGTCATAAGTATAATAAGGATTTTACAGCACGATCTATTGTTAGATTAAAGATAAACATTTTAAAGTTTTAAAAATCACCACCAGAGAGCAATATTGTGTAAAGTAAAATAAGGAGAGCTGATTTTAGGTATGGAGGGATGCACTGTTTCTAAAGTAAAGACAAACTCCGATAGAAAATCAGAATACAGTTGCAAAGGAAAGACTAAAAATAGAAAAATAAAAACAACCAAGGACTAAAAACAAAATAATAATTAACGCAGCAAAACATAGCTGCCGCTTATCAAAGCATGATTGCTCATACACCATTTTACTGGCATTAGTAAACAAGGTCTACTGGATTTTGACCTTTCAGCAGGTTGAGAGAAGTAGCAGCAACATTCCTGCAATATTTTCTGTCCCTATTGAAGTCAGGAGGAGAATGAAACCAGCAGTGACATGTAGACTGTTAAACTAAATAGGGGTGACCTTGACCTCTAAAGCCTCCCACTTCTTAGACCCTGTTTACATGGAGACGGCTTGTGTTGTATCTGCTACTTTTCTCTTTCGTATAGCCCGTTCGTTCACACAAGGCCGTAATGGAACCAGGGAAACGGACCCCTCAAACGATAACGAGTCCCAAGGTGGGTAGATCTGCGGACGGAATGCTCTGGGGGGCCGCCCGTCCACAGAGCGGCGTGCGTTGAAGCTTCAACGCAGCTTCCCATTCACTGTGAATGGGGTGACGCCATGCTTTGCCCAACTACATTGTGGTTCCGTCGCTTCGCTTTGCTCACGTTGCTCGCTTCAAAAGTTGAGAAAAGTTCAACTTTTCAAGCTTTGACGGAAGCGTCAGCCAATCAAATCATATGCTAGCACAAGTTCTAGCCAACTAAACCGCTTGTGTGTCCGGGGCGGGAGATTCATGTGAGTGGTTGTGGGTCGAGCTTCAGAAAACGCCCGCCGGCAAGCTTCAACGCACGCTGCCGTGTGGACGTACCGTAACGGCTCCGTGTGTACGTCCTATACGATCATTTCCTGATAACGATGAAACCATAGCCCCACCTCTGCTGCTCACTGCTGTAGCATGGTCAGTAGCAGCATGCTACAGATGTTAGTGCAAAATCCACAGCTCCTCTACCACAACCATCAGCAACAAGTGGACATGGAGAACTGCATGAACTACATGTTGTTAAATCCACTGCGGAGCATAAACAGAAGGGCAACCATGGCAACCATTCTCGGGGGGGGGGGGGGTCTTCTTTGCTGCTTTTGGTGTATTTTATGGCGGAAGTACAGCGCCACTTACAGGCCCGGCATATGTACTACAGCGTCTCCAGCGGTCTCGTGTGAAAGGACAAGTTTCTTGAGCCGATACTGTGTGAACGGAAGACTTTTTTGATATCGAATTCGGTTCGTTCTCCGTTTCGTCTCCATGTAAACGGGGTCTTAAAGTTGTGTGTTGTATATCAATAGGATTGTCCTATTGATATACTATATGTCAGGTGATTACTATCTGTAGGACCGCACTACTAGCAGTACATATAAGTGACAATGTGATCCATTGTTAATGTGAAAATATTGAGCAAAGCTCATTTTAAATTCTGCAATGACCAGACACTTACCAACAGAGGTCATGCACACACAGATGTATAATATCTGCCTAGAGCAGTGAGGGGACAAAAGTGTACACAAAATACAGCAACACTAAAGTCCATATAATAATGGAATTTAAAGTCGATGACTTACTGTGTCATGCGGGTCGCTGGGAAAGGATTCCCGTCGTCTGCCTCCAAAGTTTTTCATTATCTTCCCAGAAGTCACCAACTGTCCAAACCTCTGATGACTGCAAGGCCATGAGAACAGCAGATCCATTGAGAATATTTTAATTCCCGGAGGCTTTTTTGTCAAGATTCATCCATTCCAACCATATGAGTTATCTCCTATCGGATAAGGTCCCCCACAGTGTCTCATGGGAGAAGATGCATCCCCAGTTTGTTTACAGATGGCAACTTCTCACGTCACAAGGTCAAAGTGTTTCATGTTCAGCATTCCACGTCCTGCAAATATATGAAACATGCTGAAGGATGGCTGAGCACAGATGGCTCAGGAACTACTATTGTTTGTTCTCTACATTTCATTTAATCTGTGTTTTCATCTCATGAGGCTTTAAATACCCAGAAAATGTGTATTGTGTGGAGTGTTATTGGTATAAATACATTTGACTTCATTCTCACTGTTAGGTGTTGAATGTAAATGTCTTTGCACAGCTGCAAAATCCTTATTAAAAGTGTTTTCATTTTATAAAGTATAACTAAAATTACCTTTAATAGTTACTGCACAGGAGCTAGCATGGCTCACAGCAGTTATACCAAAGTCAGAATGAAAACAATGTCTGATTTCTAGGCTGTGTTCTAGCAACAAATAAAAAGCCACGTCGCAAATAACCAGTGTTAATGAACCATAATGAACCCATATTTTGGGAAATATACTGTAGGGGGAAGGTCTAATACTGGTGGCTGCAGAAGACTTGAAAATGTACCAAAGCTAGCTCCAGGATTTATCGAGACCATTATTTCCCAACATCGGGTTAGGATAGAAAGAATACAAGTGCATTAAATATAATTAATCTTTTGTAACTTGTCAGTTGTGTTTATTTTTCCATACAGAATACCAATACATCGACCAAATCACCAAGTATAGTGGTAATGTGTAAACAGTAGTTTTTTTGAGGGGTTAAAGACATAAGTGTTGGGAACCCCTGGTGTAAATTATTATTAAAAAAATGGCATACAAAACAGAAAAAATGTTTTAAATTGTTGCTGTTGCTCAATATGTGCCATGCAACATGTAAGATTCAGATGACTTTTTCAGGTTACTCCGCACTGGAGAGAACACGGGAAACACAAGGGGAGAAAGGTGTTCTGGGAAAACGCTGATAATAAACTCTGCATTAAGGAAAGTGTCAGATTGAAGCTTTGGACAGATTGATGTGCTGCTGCTGCTGCCACTTTGATCTATGGTTTGACAGATGCTAATAGCAGGTCCGAATGTAATGTTGACCTCAATCCTGCCTCACTGCTCAGGGTCTGCCCGTAGATCAAACAGATCAATAGATAATGTGTTCGGCCTGACCCAACACTTGAACCTCTAACACCTCCGTACCGTCCAGGACCACAGCAGTATGACATCACCGCAAAGTACACACACTGCCTCAGTCCGAGTTGCACCCAAGTCTCACATGGTGTATTGTTTGTGTGTGTGTAAATTAATACATTTCCATCCTGATTTGATTTTGAGGAAGTAATTATTGATGATACATCAGCCCACATAGACTGGAATTTCCCTTCATTATTAGTAATGAGAACATTTTCCAGGACCAGGAGATGTGGAAAACACGTGCTTTGGATACAATAAGGCGGTGTAAAGGTTCTGCATCTGTCTTGTGTTGAGACAGATGTTGTTAGTTCTAAATGTATGTTTTCAGTATTGGAAAGATTGGTTTTTGTGGTGGATCTCTGGTTGTGTTTTTTTGTATCTTTTTAAAAACATCTCATTCTTCATCATCTGCATCAAATTGTCTTCCAGCCTTATCTTGTTTTATACATTTCTTTCTCATCAGTAAACTTATTCTGTAAATTATTACACATCATTTTCATTTGATTAGCTTGCATGATAAAGAAATTGTGTAAAATGTGCCTGCTCTCTTGTCATAAATCAATAGTCTCCGTGTGGTGAATAGGCAGGTTGTGAGGAGTTGAACAATAACTCAATGATTGCATGATTAAGCTCAGGAATGTACTCCACATGTCAGAATTCCTCAGTTTGTTAAAGCAGGTAGTAATTTTCTCAAACCGCAAATGCCTCACATCCACTACGGTTCAAAAGCTTTATCCATGATATAATCTCCATTTATTCTATAGAAAATTAATCATACTATTCTTTGGAAGGAACCACTGCAATACTATGGAAACGGAAGACATTTCAGACCACTCCCAGGTAAACAAGATGCACTTTACACTGGTGTGTATACAGCTGGGCTTGCACCAAAGTGAGGACAGTGTCACTGAATAAATGTTTGTGGAGCTGCATGCACGCAGTCATTTGTATACAACATATTGAAGACTCCTTAAAAGAGGGGCAGCTTTCTGTGTTTGTATGCAGAATAACTCACAGATGATATAAAGGGAACTGAGAATTGATATTGCACATTAGTAAAGTTTGGGGAATTTCCTGGCTGTTTACAATATGAACAAAGTGTGAGAGTTTTAAAAACTGCCAGTTGCTTTTGTGTTATCTGAAATACAAGCGAAAGTGAGCTGCACTGCTGGAGCTCTGCTTGGTGAGAGCTCTCATCTTAAGACTTCCTAAAACACGCTCACTGAAAAACACACACACGCTTCCCCCCTCCCCTCCCTCCTCTGTAACCAACATATACACACACAGTGTTCTCAGACAGAGTGTGAGCCAGGATGACTGGAGGAGTTAGGACTGCATAGGCTGCAGTGTGAGGGGGAAAGAGTGTGTGTGTGTGCATATGGGTTTGCATGTGTCTGGGTGGATTCCCGCTGTACTGCTGCCCCATGTGTGACTGTGCTGACCGCGACAGCCATCCTGTTCACAGCGGAGACTTTCTCAGCATGCAGATGGTGTGAGCAGTCAGGGGAAAAGTTTATAGCAGCTCGTCTGATCCTCTGCTAACTCCATCCACTCTGCACGCACCGAGTTTGTTCAGGGGAGCAGCAGAAGGAGCTGGAGTACAACTTCAGCTCTTCTCACCCCGGGATCTCTGTTGCTGTTGATTGATTACCTGTCACAGGATTGGATACAAAAAGGTGTGTTCATCACCACCACCACACATCAGAGCTGAGGGATTCGACAAGGCTTTTAATTTGAAAGGTGAGTCTACTCTGAGTTTTATAGCGTGTTTATTGCCTCCGGGGTATTGTTGTATATTGGTGATTCTGTAGCAATGTCCCATTTTTCTTGACATCTGCAGGCAAATTGTCTGACTGACTGGTTCTATTTTACTGATTGACTCTATGAGGTATGTTATTTATATTTCAGTAGCTATCCCTGAGCTGAATAGATACAATTGCAGAAACACCCCTATGTTAAGCACAGCAGTTTGTGGTAGTTGCTGCTATGACATTTGGTGTTGTTGTTAAGAGTCTGTTTTTTTCTGATTTGTCTATGCATTTAGTCTTGCACACATGAACCAAAACCATAAGCAGAGGAGGTCAGCAAGTGCCTTCAGTTTACCGGAAATCATTATGGTACTTTTTTGAATATGCTTTTCCAACATCACTCAGAAAATTGTTCACCTTCTTTGGGATTTGATGTTAATTGCACATCTGTCTGACACCATGTACAAAATACAGTGCGTCCTGTAAAGTATAACCAAACTATTTCCAATGAAAGTAGGTAGTTCTAGCTTCAAAAGTGGCTCACAGATGCCAGCTGACCCAATACACCCATTTGCATATTGGCAACGTCATTGAGCCTCATTTGCATGAAGCTTAGTAGTTGTGTTGGTTGAAACGAGGGACAGTCTGCCTGCGCCAAGGCAAGAGGAGAGGGAGAGAACGACTTGGCAGAGGAGTCGTGGACTTCTATTACTCCGAGCAGCATGGGCAGGGGTCTGCAACCTTTTTGACCAAAAGAGCCAATTTGTTCCTTTTTCCCAAACATTTTTTGTCTGGAGCCGCAAAACATATTTCATAGATTGATAGCTTATAAAGTTGTATTTATTGTTATATCAGACAAAAACTACAGTTTTTTTGCATTTATTAGGCTATTTATTACATTATATAAAACTGTTAACCTCTAATAAGAAACAAAGAACTCCTATAAGCAGAATGAAAAATAATACACAGGCCTACTTTAAAATAAATTAAACACAGCACTTGGGGAGTCCTCTGCACATTTGAAGGAAAAAAATATAATTAAAATGGGCCCACTTTGAAATAAATAAAAGATCTGCCTCTTCCTTCAGACTTCCCTACAGAGCCCCTCCTCCAACACACACGAACGCGCACATGACCAATGAGGGCACGAGATAAGTTTGTGCACAGATGGAAGGCTGACAGGCAGGTAGGCCATCCAGTTATTTTAGCCGGGACGGTGTTGGTACCATATGTGTTCGGGGTGTCACTACCCGATCTGCAGCTCTGCCCGATCTGCAGTGCGCATGTGCGAGAGAGAGATGAGTTATTGTTATTACGACGTGACTTCACTATTATTTAACAACTCTTTTTATTGGGTTCTTTTATTTGGGGTTAAGTACATTGTCAGAATAAGTGAGACAGGGATTTAACTTCTGTTAGACAGCCATATGCCATACATTTTTGCACACATTCACAGTAAATATGTATTCAGTATGATAGCTGTCTAACAGAAGTTAAATTCATTTCTCACTTATTCTGACAATGTACTTAACCCCAAATAAAAGAACCCCATACAAAGAGTTGTTAAATAATAGTGAAGTCACGTTGTAATAACAATAACTCATCTCTCTCTCGTTTTATTTTTGAGCTTTGCTAAAAGCCACTGTGTCAAGTGTCCATCTTGGGTTGCCGTCTGGAGTTGTCCAATATGGCGGACCATCTCGCACATGCGCACTGCAGATCGGGCAGAGCTGCAGATCGGGTAGTGACACGGGGTACCATATGTGTTCGGGGTCCGTCTCTTACCAATGACGTCATGCATTGTGATTGGCTGTATGGTAATTTACCGGTAATTTCGATGTATATTTCCATAGAAAATGCTAACCGCTAGCCAGAGATGGGGTCGTTACTAAAAAAATGTAATATATTACATATTACATATTACTTTTTAAAAAAGTAATATATTACACTACTTCGTTACTCGCTACATAAAGTAACTCGTTACTTTACTCGTTACTTTACTCGCCGAGCACGTACGAACTGCGCATGCGTGAGTGGCAATAACTCTCCTTACCAGCAGGCGGCGGTAGTGTGTATTAGTCATTCAAAACAGGCAACAACCGGAAGACAGAGAAGAAGAACAGACTACGTGATATAAACAAACAACAAATAGCTGTGCGTTAGCTTCACCTTAGCATGTGTTCTTTGCAGGTGCTTGTTGAGGTTTAACGTGGTGTTTCCAGCAGTGGATAACAGCTTCTGGCCTGGACACAGTTTGCACCTCACCGTCACATTCCTGTCTATTCTTCGGACGAACTCAAAATAATGGGCATACCTCCACCCCTCGAAAGTTATCGCTGACTCAGCCATGTTTATGCAGCACTGCAGATGTGGACGCGCAAATCGCGCAGATTACGTACATATAAACCTGCGGCGGAAACCCCTCTCGTCTGTCAGTGTGATTATGACTGATTTTGAGTAAGTAACGAAGTAACGCGTGTCGGGGCAATGTTAGTAACTGTAGTATGATTACTGAATTATAAAAGTAGCGCGTTACACTACTCCGTTACTTTGTAAGGCGTTACACCCAACTTTGCCGCTAGCCACAAAGCTAGCATCGCAGCCACTGCTTCGTTTTCGGAGACTTTGCACACGTTCTTCACACGCTAGGAGTACTTCCACTAGCTTCGTCTTGGTCTGTAGATGTGATTTGATGTGTCGTGTGTCCCCCAAAAATAACAATCGACAGTGTAAACATAATTATGTAAATAACCCAATTTGTGTTCTGTGAAACGGAAAAGGATTTTACATTTTTTTTTTACTTTCGTTGCAGTGTCTTAAATGTAATTTAGGTCAACTTCCTGTTTGAAGTTGTTGCTATGGAAACAACATGACGGAGAAAAAAGTAATATCTTCTACATATAATAACGGACAAAGTAAAGAATTAAGTGTAGGCTATGTTTAAATGTTCGGAATTTGACCGTGTATGATGGTCCTCTTGTGTTGCCGTACAGCCAATGCTCCGTTTTCGGAGACTTTGCACATGTTTTTCACAAACATTTTCACACGCTAGGAGTATGGGAGTACTTCTATTCGCTTTGTCTTGATCTGTAGATGTGATTTGCCCCCGAGCACCCCTGGGTAAATTACCGTACAGCCAATCACAATGCGTGACGTCATTGGTAAGAGACAGACCCCGAACACATATGGTACCCCGAACCAAGCCCCCAGGAAGTGCGCCGGAGTCTGATGAGAATATTCGTGCTGGTCAAACGGCGGTACTACACTTCCTTTAGGTTGCTGGGCCCGGAAACACTTTTTCTCATTAACTTACATTGGAAAAGAGTGGTCTGTAACTCGTTGGATAATTTTTTTTAAACTAAATAAACTACCCAGTATGAATGTTTGTATAGCCCTTATTAAAAACATTCGGTCCTCAAGTTGTAAAAATTTGCTAATAACGTTATTCTGAGTTATTTCCCTCGGCATTATGAACGCGCATCTAACCCACGGGACCGCGCCGCCCGGCACGTTCATTACGTGTTCAGTACTACACGAGTTTCTCTTTACCCATGGATGCACAATAACAACGGACCATATCGCCTTACTGCCAGCCCACGGAGCTGTAATAATGGATATATTGCACATGTTTGCTGTAATTCATCATTTGTAAAATATTATACTACATGGGCTGTATGATGTAAATCTTGTACCGTAAATGTTGTATTAAATAAAGTTAATATTACCGACGTAGATTAACGTTCCTGTAGCTTCTTATTGCACTTGCAATTGTTTTAGTTACTTGTGGGCTACTTAACATGAATAATCACAGTTACTATCCTTTTACTCCATCACATTTCAAAAAGAAATAGGCTATTGTTATTTTAACTCCACCACAGTAATCCATCATCAGCTTTACTTTTTAGATAAAGTTTTAACTCACAATTGATCATAACAGGCTTCAACATTTGTATATATTACCAAGTGGTTTCATGTACAACCCACACAAGTATCATGCTAAATGAAGCTCTGTTGCTTGGATATCACTAGATCCTGATGTCAGCGTAATATAAAAGTACATAACGATTGATGTGTAACTTAGCATAATTTACTAGCTAGCCGCTAACTGCCGCCTCGTTAATATAAATCCAGTACCATGCTGTCATGAACGTGCGGTGCTGTTACGTATACGCAAATTCACGTGCTTAATGTGAACGAGCCTTTTGGGCGGCATGGTTAAAGTTGCGCATGCTCTGAGTGCACATACGGGTACTTCTCAGGCATGCCGGGTAATCTGTGACGTTTCGCTCTCTCAAAAGTTGGGCCATTTTGTCATCATGCGCTAATGAGCAACTCTCATAGGAATTAATGAGGCCCCGCCTCCCACGCTGTATCCAGTTCTTATTATACATCCATGCCCCGAACATATATGGTACCGACTGTCACTACCCGATCTGCAGCTCTGCCCGATCTGCAGTGCGCATGTGCGAGATGGTCCGCCATATTTGACAACTCCGGACGGCAACCCAAGTAGGACAATATTGACACAGTGGCTTTTGGCAAAGCTCAAAAGGAAAACCCGAGAGAGATGAGTTATTGTTATTACAACGTGACTTCACTATTATTTAACAACTCTTTTTATTGGGTTCTTTTATTTGGGGTTAAGTACATTGTCAGAATAAGTGAGAAATGAATTTAACTTCTGTTAGATATGCCATACATTTTTGCACACATTCACAGTAAATATGTATTCAGTATGATAGCTGTCTAACAGAAGTTAAATATCGTGCTATCGGGACGTTAAGAGCATTCCATAGAATATAACAAAAAGTGTTTTCTGAAATAAATTACATACCCCATTGAATTATTACTGAAGATCGTCAGCTGTCTTCCTCTCCCGTGTTGTTCCTCTATACGTAAAGGCTGCAGCACCTTTGACAACTTCTCTCTATATATCAAACATATCGGTAAACCAGCATTGTTTGCTGTGAAAACATATAACTCTGTCCACGC